TGCTGTCAAACGATTAATCGCATCCAAAATGAAAGTTTTTGTTTAGATAATATGTGTGTATACTGTGTATATTTATTATGTCTATATAAATACAAACATATGCATGTATATATTTTAAGATAAATGTTGTTTATATATTAAATATATTTATATAATATAAAATAAGAATATTAATGTATAAACGTACATATTTTCAAAATATATACTGTATGTGTGTATTTATATACACAGTGCATGTGCATATATAATATAAACAAACTTTTATTTTGGATGCGATTTAATCACAATTAATCATTTGACAGCACTACTATTATAAATATATTAAGCATAATTCTAAATAAAAACATTTAATAAAATAAGGTTGTAGTAATAGTAGTAATTTAATTTATTTAATATTGAATATTTTAATAATATTTAACATTTGAGATTTGTGTAACTTCATTATATTATTAACCATATTAAAAAGATGTTTATTAACAAATCAAACCATTTAAAACAAAAATATTAAACAAAATAACAGTACTGTTGTAATATTACAGTAAAACTGAGTATTTGCAAAAAATAATGTAATTTTTATTTTATGGTAGAACACTAATGGTTGTCTTAATTTCCTCAGTTTCAAATGTTAAACCGTTGAGGCTTTATTTTAGCGTTAAATCTAATAAATCGCTTGTGATTTTCAGAAGTCAGAAAGAGCTTTATTACCAAGTATGTTTTCACGCAAGGAATTTTGGTTTTATTGTGATTAATTGTGCAGCCCTACATTTAGGGCTTTTATACGTGTCTTTTATCATTTTGCTACCATTTTATACAAGCAATAGGCTGCTTAAGGCTTGAAGATGGTTAAATGAAACGTTCTCCTCTGTTCTGAACAACAGAGAAGAAGATGGACAGCATGAGACTGCGAATCAAACAGATGATGGACGTCTCCAGGGTACATGCGTCTGATTTAATTTTGAGGAGAATTCAACACTCTTCGTATTTCTAATGCAGTTTCTGTTTCGCAGATTAAAGCGACTCTCGGTGTTGTTGAAGACGAGAGGAATCGCTACATGGAAAGTCTCCTCGCTGAACAGAAAGCCAGACAGGAGCTGGAGGGTATGAAGACTGTGATTGTTCATTTGAACATCTTCCGATTGGCTTTCCACATCTGCATCTAAATACACAGTTTTTTGTTTTCATGTAGAGCAATATCAGAAGGTCATGCATGACC